CCCCCCCCCCCCCCCCCCGACAACAAGAACAACCCAAAGAAATGGTTGTAGAGGGAGAAAACTTTACTAACTTTACTTTTCACAACTGGAGATCCTGGTTCCCCATGCAGTTGTATTGTAACAGATGTGTATGGGCTCTGCAGTTGAAGCAAAATTGACAGAGTTAACAAAGGTGACTTAGAATTAGAATAATGATCCTGGAGGGCTTGAAGCGTTGTGGTGTAGTACAGAGGCTGTGTTTCAAAGTTTCCATAGTACTTTGATATCAGTGAGCAAAAACAATATAAAGCCCTCTGCAACAATGCAATGCCTGGCTAAAGCATCTGGTCTGAATGTCACCGTGGCAGGAATTGGAGAGTCTATCCCTTCATTTAGCAGTTTGTTCTAATGATTAATTATCCTCCCAGTTCAGAGTTTCTTATTTTCCATTTGAAGTTGTTTTTTTTTTTTAAAACTTCAGCTTCTAGCTAGAAGTTTTGATTATCTTTGGGTTGAACAGCTCCTGAGTATTATCTTCCTGGTTTGTTTTTCCACTTTGTTTTTGCCCATAACACTGTGAAAATTACACCTGTTAAATCTTCCCTTTCTTCCCAAAACATACCTGTTTCCTCTCAAACTGAATGTTTGCCTATTATTACGGTCTCACGCTTCTTTCTCCTTAATATGCATAATATTTTGAATAATGTTGTGTACACTCTCTCCTTTGATGCAATGTTAGGACCTAATTTCATTCAGTTGCATTGTCAATCAGTTTTATACTAATATAATTCTATTCACTTTCATGTTATTCCTTATATAAGCTGGAATAGTTGAGGATCCATTCAGTCTGGTATTAAACATTCCTTTTCTTTTCAAAAGTTATGATACTTACAATTTAGTTTTTATTTTGCACAGATGTTAAAGAACATGATACTGTATAATGTTAGAATTGCAAGTAGTATTCCGAATGTCCTGCTTTACTACCTGTTTATAATTGTGGGCTGATATGACTGGATTTGTATTCATTTGCCTTATCACATAACTAAACTTGAAATTACTTTTTTTCTTAAGATGTTCTAAGCTATCCATAGATAAATAAATTTCCTCCATGTAAACACAGATCCTTTTTGTCCAAGAAAACACAGAACTTCTCGTCTTTTTTTTTCTTATAAACACCCTACACCATCAATATTCTTAAATTCCAATTACTACTTTTACAATTATTCTTTTTCTTTGCTTTCAGATTTGTAACTTGTTTTCTATGTGCAAATCTGATAGCAAATTGTTAATGAGCTGTATCGGCCAGTGCCAGTCCGATTCCAATATGCAGCCGGGCAGCGTGGAGAGTGGTGTCCAGCTGAGGCCCACACAATGAGGGAGAGAGGGAGTAGGGCTGGGGCAGGGGCAGGCACTGCACAGCCAGGGTGGAGCACAGGACAGGTCCACGGCTTGTTTGGGGAGTGCTAGGGAAGGATCAGCTCCTACCGCTGCATACATCCCGGGAGGACGTGGGAGGCAAGTGCCCCCAGATCTGTGTGCAGGGTGAGGGCGGGCTGTTGCTGCAGACTGGGACAGGGGCTGTGCTAGGCTCTTGCCAGCAGGGTGCTGAACTGGGCTACCCTTGGGCCAGGCAGCGGTGTGCTGGGAAGGAGCTATGGGGGGGACTGCAGCCATCTCAGAATTCACTGTAGCCCCTGCTCCCAGCGCTGCCACCACCTGCCTCAAGCACAGTCCTAGTCCAACCCCCACGCTGGGAAGAGCATGGCGCTGCCTGAGCCCTAGCTCTCAGCAGCAGACCACCCTTGCCCTGTGGTTAGATCCAGGGTCACCCCTCCCCCATGCCCTCCTGGGATGCGCGTAGCAGCAGGAGCTGCAGCCCTCCCACCCCCCAGATGATCTGCTCCCAACTGTCCCCTGCTCTGCTCCGCTTTGGCTGTGCAGTCCCAGTCCCACTCCCTCCCTAGCCACTGGGGCCTCAATCTGCACCCCCCACCCCATGCCCCTTCCCTCGCAGTGGGCTTACCAGCCAGAGCTGGTTGCTCTCCATGCTGCCAGGCTGAGCTCCTGATCACCTGCATACTGCACTGTAGCTGCACACATGCATGGGACATTTATCAGTGGCATTATCGGCCACATCACCCAAGAAAAGCCCGTTGCTGATACCTTCACAATATTTCTTATATTGACACCGTTCCAATATGGGACTGATGTATTGGTGCACTTTTACAAGTAAATCAAATTACTATTTGTCCTATCCTTGGTTATACAGAACCGTTCTCTTTACTGTTGTTGTTTACCTGTTCTAAGCCTATTATTCTCCCTTTCTCTCCTTGTGCTATGATCTCACTTTTTGAAGGCTACATAAATCTGCTTTTTTCAACCTTGCTTCATTAGGTCATGTTTTCCAAGTCATTTTTGGAGAGAATCTGGAGGATAACCATATTTTTGCCTATTTTTCCTTAAGTGTGGTGCCCAAAACCTGGACTCAGTATTACAATTAAGGCTACATCAGCATTGAGTACAGCAGGCTGGTTACCTTTTGTGTTTGATATGTGAAACTATTAATACATCCCAGAACAAAACCTTTTTTTCAGCGTCAGTATCACATTGTTAATTTTTTCAGTATGCAATCTACTCTAGCCCCCAGATTTGTCTTCTGCAGTGTAACTGCCTAGCCAGTATTTCCTCATTTTGAATTTATGCATCTAATTTTAATGTAATACTTTGTCCTTGCCTTTATTGAATTGTATTCTATTAACTTTTTAGACCATTTTGCCAACTTATCACAATGTTTTCCTTTCTAATCTGACATGCTTTTATCTCTCTTCAACTTTGTGTCACTTGTAAATTTTATAAGTGGTGTGCTCTCTTTCTTCATCAAACTTATTAAGGAAGATACTAAATAATAGTGGATTTAGCACAGAACTCTGTGGGACCCCACTCATAAATTGTCCCCCTGGTCTGACAATGAACACTGGTGACTTTATTTTGGCATTGTATTTTCTGTGTGGTTTTTGGACTAGCCTATGCCCCATCTTACAGTGATTACCTATAGACCATATTTCCTGATTTGTGTACAAGACAGCTATATGGAAAATTATTTAATTCCTAACCAAAGTAAATCTCTTCTCCTCTATTATTTTCCTTTATCCACTGAGCCAGTAGGTCAGGGGCAAGCAATTATTTCGGGCAGAGGGCTGCTTACCAAGTTTTGGCAACCTGTCAAGGGCCTCATGGGTAGTCCTACCCCTGGTCACCAACTTGCCCCGCCTCCTGGTCACCAACTTGCGACTGGAAGTTCCACCCTGTAACTCTT